TGAAAGCTTAGCAGGCAAAAGTGATGAGCAAGGGTTTCCATTTTTATTAAGAAGCCCATGATTTAGAAAGATACAAAAGTTACCCAGAGGTTTGAAAATGCTTGCACACTGTCAAAACAGTTCTCCACAAAGGTGGTCATTCTCTCCACTCACCTTCCAGTTGCTAGGAGAGTGTACTGCAGAGGTCCTCAACTGCTGGTAGGCTTTTCAGGAATTGATAACCAAGGATTCTCTGAGTACCACCGCAGCAATGTTTCTATGGGAAGCCTTTGCTTACATCTTCATTCGTCCACTTGCACAAGTACCATGCAACTAAGGCCAGGGCAGACCAGGTCATAAAGCATAGTGACCGGGCACTTGCAACAGTGGAATAAATAAAAACAAATGCCAAAATAAAGTCAAGGTTGACCCAATATCATGACAGATGTGAAGCCAGAGTCCTGGACCAGCAGGGTCTTCCAGTCTCAAGTATACTACTACCTACGTATCAATTATTCTCTGTTCTGAAGCCTCTGGGTGATGAGAATGAGGTGACATTTACACATGACTATTGGAATACGTCAGGTTTATAGACGGCTGTTGAGACAACCAGATGCGATTACTCTTCCTAACAGTTCTCCACCCTCTAGTGCTCTTTTACTACCTCCTTCCAGGTTCACATTTGCTCGTCTATCATCCCCACCTTACAGGGAGCTTTTGCACTCTGCCTACAGACGCATGAGGATGGCACCCATGAGAAAGAGCAAAGGCACCACCCAACCCCACTTGCCCTTCCCTAGCAGCTTCCGAGCTTGGCCCTCAAAGCAGTAACTGACCCCTCACCAGCTTAAAAAGAATTTCCCTGCTCCAAGCCAGGCCCAGTCATTCAGGTCCACACGAGCATGGCCATTCTTTGTTCTTTCATCATCACTACCCACAAGCCCCCACTTTTGCTGTATCTTCCCAAACTCTGGAGTAGGTCCTTATAGAAACATATGCCTCAATCATCTGCTCCCTTCTCTTGAAATAGCTGCTTATGACAGTTTGCAAGTATGCCTTTGCACACGCACACACACACACACACACATCAAAGTTAACTGTGAACATGAGCAACTCTGCTAGCCATAGGCAAACACCTGGCAGTGCAATGCTTCATGCACACCTTCTAAATGTGGACCAAAAATGCTGGGCCTTGATGCTGTGAACTAACATATGGATAAGTAAATTTCAACCTTTTGTACAAAAGGGTCAGCAGTCAGCATGTGTGACCTGAGCGTCAACATCCTGTAGGGTAACAATGGCATCCAATCTGGAAACAAGATGAGTTACAGCCAGGGAACTGGTCCCACATACTAAAGGATATGAATTCATGCTAGAACCAGGTATAGTGAGAAGTCTAAACTATGAATATGCTACAGACTAACTGGGTTAGGCAGCACAAGTAAAATTTAATCTAAGTCCTCACATTCTCAAAATCACTCTTAGGGTTGAGGACTTGCAATTATTATACTACAAGGACCTTCATTTGAGTGGCTTATTCTCAATTAAGCTGCAGATTGGTATGAGAACAAGGATTAGTAGGAAGCAGAGGAATGATGCTAATTGGGCGAAAATAATGAATGGGTGTTCAACAGGTTGTCCTCTGATTCATGTAAGTGCATAAAAAAGGTTTTTATTTCCTAAGATTTATTCCCTTCTCTGACAAAACAAATTTAAAAACCCATAAGTTTTCACTTTAGTTTGTGCAATCTAGTAGTAATTAACAAAAACCTTTCTGCCCTTATTTGACAGGAAAGTCACCTCATAGTGCCCACAGCACATTTCTCACAGGCGCTTTCTGTTCTTTCTCAGCAAACACAGTGATTCTCACCTATACTTCCATAGCTCATGCCCTACACCCCTTGAGCCATGACAGGTGAGACTACAACCCTGACAGAACCAAGTTCTGCTCCGAGCCCATCTCTGGGCTGGGCAGATGCTAAATCGATGTGGTAATTTTGGCAATGCGATGGGGCAGAGATGGTGGTGCCATCGCTTCTCTTTTCCATTTGAGGACTCTGAAGGTCACAAAAGTCCAGTGAACTTGCTCAGGGTAACTATGCTAAGGAGAGGAGGCGTGAATCACTGCCTGCCTCTCTGCTCTTCTCCAATGGTACTGCCCAGTGGAGGGGGGTGGGGGCTGGACCCTCTTCCCGAGGGCACACAGGGCTCTGAATCTGCAAACAGGGTGAGACAAGCTGAGATCAGAAACCCTGTGTGTTCCTAGGGAAAGCAGGGCAGATGAACAAACACACCCCTCAAAGCTGTCTTCTCTCTAGTGCTCAGCTAGGGAGCAGCAGCAAACCACCAAGCCTCCAAAAGGGTAAGCTCTTCCCAGACCGGCAGGTGCGTGGATGCTAATGGCTCACACAGGATATAGTTCCCAAGTGCAGTCCTGCACAAGCCACGCTCCCGGCCCTGAGACAGACAACGGATGCTGTTCCTAATCCCAGCACCTTTGTCCTGTACTGCCGCAGGGGTCTGCACTGCCTTTCCCTTCCCCAGAAGTCCACAACAGCACAGCTAATAGCCTCTTCCTAGCCTTTACGTTTAAAAGGAAATTTTAGGAGGTGTAACTTGTAAGGAGCCAACCTCTACACTGCTGATTTGAAAATGAAAGACATGCCCAACCCAAAAAGTGCAGATTGCTTTCATTTTATCATCCATGTAAAGTTTATGGGAACACAAGGGAAGGTGGTAGAAAGTGCACACAGCAGATGGGAGGGGCAACATGGCAAACTGTGCTCCCTCACTGGCAAGGAGGAGTAAAGCAGGCACAGTCCTTCTGTTCAGCAGCCAGGCTCCTCACCAGTGCTGCTCCACATGGATTAGGTGCCTCTTGTCTGGCCACAGGAAAGCAGCAGAAGACAGCTCAAAGCCCTCTGACCCTGCACCCACAGGGAAGATCTGGAAGCAGCTCTTAACTTCAGATCATCTCTGTCCTGGCCACTACAAACATTTGTAGCATAAATCAACAGATGGAAGAACTTTCTATCTCTGTTTCTTTCTGTAAATCTGCCTCTCCAATAAAAATAAACAAAGCTTTTTTAAGGCAAAGGAAAGTTGGGGAGCTCTTCCTAAGACCTACACATTCTGAATATCCTTTTTAAAAAGTATGAAAAGGTCCCGGTGCAGTAGCCTAATGGCTAAAATCCTTGCCTTGCATGTGCCAGGATCTCATATAGGCGTCAGTCCTGCTTCCCATCCAGCTCCCTGCCTGTAGCCTGGGAAAGCAGCAGAGGACAGTCCAAAGCCTTGGGACCCTATACCCGCATGGGAGACCTGGAACAAGCTCCCAGCTCCTGGTTTCCAGTTGGCTGTGTTGCACAGCAACTTGGGGCATGAAACATCAGATGGAAGATCTTCCTGTCTGTCTCTCCTCCTCTCTATCTGACTTTCCAATAAACTTGAATAAATCTTAAAAAAAAAAAAAAAAAGAAAGAAAGAAAGGAGAAAAATCAAGAAGCCTCTACACTAAGTGGAAGAATTACAGATTTTAATTTTCCTTCTACTTATCTAGCATTTTCAATTTTGTTCTGCAGAGAATCTGTAATATTATTTTAATGAGGCACAACAGTTTTTTTGCTAAGCAGGAACTTAAAACCCACATTGTAAGTGCCCGTACGATTTCTCATATAATGAGACTTAGGCATTCCTTACAGCCAAGGCTAAATTATGAATGTCTTAACTCTGAACTGCCAGCTACTATTTTCATAACTACAACAACATCACTGCTGTACACCAGGTGCTCTGCCAGAAGGAGCGCCAGAAATCTCACGTGAAATGCTGAGAAAAGGTGCAATCGGTACATGATCGGCTTAGTTAACAACAAGCGCACACGCCTTCGGGACCGGAACGAGCACAGAGCCAGCCTCTTTCAGCAGCTCAGTTGATTCTACATTCAGATTTTGGCATTAATGACACTGACATGTCTTTGATTTATATTTTAAGAGTTTCACATTAATGAGTCCAAAAACATGTCTAAAATAAAACAAAGAGCTAAAACCTTATTAATAACCAAAGGCTATTAATCAAGCCAGCACTGCATTTGGAAAGGCACACGCTCTCCTCCTCAGGCAACCAGCCCAGCAGGGAACGGGCAGGGTCTTTCCCCTTTACAGCTGAGAGCAGAGTATCAGACGACCCTGGCTCAGAACAGTCTCCTGCACAGGTGGGGAAAGAACTAAGCAGTGAAGTTCTGACCTACGCAGAGGAAAGTGAGCAAAGAGTGGCTCAGGGACCAGCCTCCTGATCCTCCCAACCTCTGCCGCAGTTTACTAATGCTCATGAGAGTTTGCAAGGGTAAATTTCGAGAAGAAAGAATCTTAGAAAAAGTGTTAAGCTTTCCTCTGCCATCCAATCCATTACTCACAAGTTACATATGTTCTGGTTTCATTTCCATCATTATTAGCTTGCACGTGTCACATACAACTACCGCCCTAAACTTTAGACACCTCTGGAATGCGCTTGCCTTCTCACATCCCAGCTTAAATCCTGCCGCTTTGCTATTCTGGCAAGTTCCTATGCCAGTCTGATCCTATTTGAAATCTCAGAGGACCTTTCAACAGAATGAGTTTGTGTCCAGTCTGTGAGAGCAACAAGTGAAATTCATCCTTCTGAAACATGTGTTGGACAGCTCTCTTCTCTGCTAGAATGGAACCTGTGTGAGAAGAGGGATTCTGGGCTGGTGCTCCTCCCCCAGCACATCGCCCAGACCAGGGGGCAAGCTCATACGGGATGTAGGAGTGACTGGGTAGATCACCAACTTACATCACCTCATTTGTTCCTGTGCCCTATATTTTGGCCTCTATTTCAGTTTGCCATCTGTCTGTTAAGCACATTTCTGTTTGCCAAGTATCTTCACACACAATTATTTGACTGTGACTGTGGTCTCGGTCAACGTCACATTCGATGGGGCTTGACTAATTTGAGGAAATGCAGTGAGAACCCGGGAGGCAGGGGTGGGTCCTGGATCCACTTACCGCCACTTCTACCGACTGCATGGAGAGGTCGCATGGCGGCTTTAGGGCTTTAGGTCTCGTGGCGTACCAGAAAGTGGTGAGTGCTGCAAAAGCTCCGAAACCCATAAGCGTGTTGGTTGGAAGGGTGCGCACGTACTGCCGGAAATCAACCAGCTCTGGAATTCGAAAATACCGGAACAATTCATGGGCTTGCATGGTCTTGGGTTGGTGATCCTCCAAGCTGTGTTCTGTGAGGAGAGAGAGGAGAGCCATGTTCACTCCAGGGAGGCAGACTGCTCTCCAGGACTCCCGAACGCCAGCCAACTAACATGACAGCCGACAGGCAAACAAGGCATCGAACCTGCAGTCCAATGGCCCAAGTCTTTTCCTGGCTGCCCAGTTTCATTTTCCAAAAGCACTGTAGTCTTAATTTTTGTTGTATTTCTCCTTGAGCTTGTTCTTAACAACAAAAAAAAAAACAACCCTGCTTTCATTAGCCACATCAAACAGATTCTACTCACAAAAGATTCTGATAATCAAACACTCAGATAAGTGGTATGAGTTTGTTTTCTTCCTTGATGTTACATCTCTGTTCTCTTAATCAAAGATATTCGTCTCATTCTCAAGGCCAGTGGGGATATGAGTGAAAAGGCACAGGCGAGACTAACCACCCAAGGGTCACCAGTCTCTGTTTCTTCCAATAGAGCTTAGAACAAGTTCTCCAACTGGTAAAACAGATTCAGTCTAAACTGCAACATGGCTCTCATCTTCCTGGTGCTCATTCCACAGAGTAATAATAAACATGCTGGAACACAGTTAGCTTTTCTGATAAGATCCCTTCCTTTCATAGTCCCTAAGACAGCATATTTAAAATGAATAAACAAAGAAAGGAGGTGTACAAAAATCAGCCCTGAGAGAGTGCGGTTACAGCACAGTATGTGAGAGCAAGTATAGACTGGTTAAGGGCTAGGTTTGGAATCCCTGTCCTGTTTCTCCAAGGTGTTAGCTTTATGATTTGAGACAAATTATTTAGCCTTTTTGCACCGCGGAATTGCCATCTATAAAAGGCGACGGAAATAATACCTATCCTACAGGGCTTTTCTGCTGACTAAATGATTCCCATAAAGAGCTTAAGAAGGTGCCACACACCAGAGAGCGCTCAACAAAGGTCAGGTGTGATTACTGCCTTTACCAAAGCTCTTAGTGCAGAACTCTAAGATGCAAAGGCAATAAAATGATGCTTGCTTACAAGGAGCTCACAAACACTAAGGAGCTAAAATACAGATGAAAATCAGAGGGGTAACCTGCTAGATCTATCAATAAAAATCAAAGTCACAAACTGAATGTCAGTTTAAATATAAATTAATATATAAAACAAATGTGCAGTATAGAAAATCAGTGGGACTAGCACCAACTAGAAAGTCACTAATGAATAATTACTCTCAAGTTTGGCCCCAGAGGAAAGAAAATAATAGCAAATGATCTGGAAGATTTTCCTGAAAACCTCTCTGGCCTTGCAACAAGTATTAACAGTTTAACATATTACCAGTTCAGATGGTATTTGTGAACTACTACACTCACACTCATATATTCCTTCTAGTGGCTGAGTCCCAAGACTGAAATAATCTTTTTAAAAATAGAAATTCTCAGTTTAAATTCTATACTGGAATAGATTTTTGCCTAGCACAGCAGGATAGCAAGCTGGGTTCCCAGCTATCAATACTACACAACCCAATGTGAGATATCACACACAAACACACACACGAAAAATTAAGGTTCAACACAACAAAGAAATGACAGGCAAATTCTTCAGGTCATAATTCTGGAGAGAAAGCAGCAGTACTTACAAAACCACTCACCATCTGTGCCACTGACAGCTGACTGCTAGGTGACACACCACTGCAGCGACAGAAAAGGGCGGCCAGGGTGGGGGAGGGGCCGGAGGAGCTCAGCGGGCGCTTACCCGCCTGCCAAGGTCTTTCAGGGCATTAGTCACATGTGGAGGCCTACGCGGCTGCCCACTGGGCTAAAGGTAACTAGCAGGCAAAAGCCACACTTGACTTCTCAGGAGAGCAGGAGTGGAGGATGGGCCAATGAGGAGCACGGAGCAGAGTCACCCCACTGCTCCACCCATGGGCAGGGACAGGCAGCAGTGAGGGTGGACGCCAGTGCCAGTTCTGCAAACAGATACTGTTTTCTTTCTGTTCAGCGTCCCAATACGAAGAGACAATGGGCATATTTATTGTAAACCAATGAAATGTGGGATCGGATGTCGGGTCGGGTGGCACGTCTAACTAACAGGGGACATACCCAGAGAGAAACAGTGCCCAGAATACATTCATAGTCCACGCATTTGTTCTGGGTGAATTCACAGGAACAGAGCTACTCCGGCTGCCTGCCATACTTGAGTGTCTGCTGTCTGTCGGGCGCTGCCCTAGGAGCCAGGAACGCTGCTCATGACCTGAGCCGGGCTTTTGGTGGGCTAAGGATCTAATGGGATTGATGCAAAATCAGGCAAGCTGTGTCTGCCAGAGATAAGGGAGGGCTTGTGAGAGACCTCAAGGATAAGCAGACAGGTCAAGTCCAGGTCCTATTGGCCCTGAGTGGCTGCACGTCATAAGTAATACTCTACAGGTGCCAGGCAACCTCATGAACCGAACATACAAGCTGGCCTTGCCTTCCCATCATTCTGCCTGCTGGTGTCTTCTTACCCTGCAGTACTCCTACGATGCATAGAATTAACCGGTTTCACACACACACACACACACCCTCACTTCTCAAAGTCCCTGAAGTGGTTTCCAGAAAACTGAAACTGAATTATAGGGGGCATTCAACAGAATGACCAAGTGAGATACGAGTTCCTCTATAGGCAAATAGAGTCATACATGGGTAATTAATTTGTTAATTTTAGGTACCTGCAGGAGCAAACCCACAAGCCTGTATTATACTAAGAAAGTTTAGTAAGTTTAGAAAAAAAGCTTAGAAAAAAAATCTTGAGATTCAGATTTGATAGCATGAACGTTCTATTAGCTATTCATCTGTAATGGTAAGCTTTTAAATCCAGTTAAATTCTAAGATTTACTGAGTGACAATGACAAGCTCTTACTGGCAGCCAGGTAACAAGCTGCAAAGCTGCAAACCAACTGCACTGAGCAAAGGGTTAATTTTGCACATCGGAAAACTAAAGTCTGTGTGCAAAGAACTAAGACAATTCCTCATCTAGATCCATGTAAATCTCAATTCTAATGCGATCAGCCTTCAAAACTGTTTCCCTTCCATTAATTTGCTATTAAAAACAAGGTACTTGGATTACACAAATATGAAGGCAGACCTTTATAGAAAGAGAATTAGACACAATGAATAGCCTTTATATGCTTCGTGTGAACATAAACACCATGCTTGAATATTCAGTCCTAGCAGATCTCTAAGAAGCTAAGAGTCACACACATGCTAACTAACAAACGGCTGGAATTCAGAGACATAGATCATGCCAGTGCAGAGGTGTTCTAGTCAGAATCTTTATTCTTTCAAAAGTAAATTTCCATCCTGTCATCTAAGGGAGGAGTTGATAGCCCAGGCACCAAAATCATGCTGCTCTTTTCTAAAAATACGACTCTACTGGCTCACAGGCAGCAGTCTCTCAGTGGAGAACAGATCGGGCTCAGGAGCGCAGGCTTCTCCCTTCCCTCTGGCTGCTCCTGAACATCCTTCCTCCCCGACCCACACAAAAGTGGGTTTGCTCAGCTGGCTCTCTTGAATTTCCTATGAAGCTGGAGTCTCTAGCCACCAAACGACAGAGTGTGACAGGGGTCAGAGAGATGTGGCTCAAGCCAGCTTTGAGAACCAGCAGAGAGGACACCTTTAAATAGACCTGGGCAGGGCAACATGGGGCAGGGCAGGATGACAAGCACTGGAGGACATGACCGTGAGCCAAGAGAAATCCTTGGGTCTGCCTGCCCACACTTGGGATAGCGTGGCTAGGGATCGAGTAAGCAGCCATTTGGTGTTTTAGAAGGGCTTGTACATCTAGTCTTAGCTGAGCATCACAACAGGAAAGCAATGACAATGATGAGGCAGTCAAGGCCAAAGACCCTGACAGCTTCCAGGTGCTGGTCCAGAACAGGATGCCCGCATGACTCTTCAATCTAGTTTGCATGAATGACTCAACCTCTGCTGAGGCAGTGACCCTCTCCTCTAAGGATACCCACCCAACAGTTGATACAAGGGGTTCAAGGGTCCCTCCTCAACCTGCAGCTAAAAACTATGGGAATAGCATACTGAGGGAACCCAACCAAAACACACTGCAACTCTCAATGTCTACCAACATCAACACCAGCGTTTATCTGAACACCCTGGCTCTGAGCAGCTCTCAAGTGCACACAAAGGTTCACCTTTCATCACTTAATGAAAATAGGGGTTCCTGGCCAGAGCTGACACACAAGGCCATCATTCTCAGCATCCCCCCAACTCCACCCCAACAAATACACACATACACACACATACACACACACACACACATACACACACACACACACATGCATGCACCCCACTACAATTCTGCAAGGCTGTACTTACACGAGCATTTTGTCATTTGTAAACCAAAATTACAGGTGATCTGGGTGTTCCTCAAGTGTTCATGAAGCTGAACAGCAAGTTGATGGGACAACTGTGCTAGAACCACACCCCCCCAAACAGCCCACAGAAACATCACCCTTGCCCCAGCAGCAGCAAATTACGAAACTCTGACATCTTTCCTTAGCACAGCCAAGCTGGCAATATGCAGCCATTCCTTGCCCCACCTCCTCCTGTGTACAATGGGCTATTTACAGAGTCTGAAAGCTCCCCCTTTGTCCTGCACTAGCCGGGCAGAGCCCGAGCCTCTGTAGGAAACAAGCGGACAGCAGCCCGACCACTCGCAGGCCTTTCAGCTCGCCACTCCACAACTGTTAGATGCATGCTCCTTAACCCTGGCTGGCAAGTTACCTAAAGCTAGATTTGCTTAAGCCATTGCCTCTTGGACCAAAAGCGCAGGCTGGAGAAAGAGAGAGAGAGAAAGACAGGCCCAAAAGCTCCAAAGAAATGCCAATGCCTCCAGGTTTGGGAGGGAAGCAGAGGTTGCCTTCGAAATCCTATCCTACACAGGAACCCCTCACTGCAAGTGCCATCCCTGGTCCACCTTCCCTCTGAGCAAAAGAAGGAAAGAAGTTTTGGGTAACTTTGGTCTCCTACACACAAGCAAGCAAGCAATTCACAGGGAACTAATATTTCCATCTACTACCTTGGGATTTCCCTTCCCATGTAGCGATACAAAATTTAAACCATTGGGTTTTGAATTTTCATTTAAGTGGTACTGTGAATGACCAATTTAACTTCCAAGAAGACACAAAGGAGAGAAACATGCTGTGATGCTCTGCTTTTATAAATATGATCTGGGGAAAAGTAAGTCAGTCACAGCACTTCTATACGTTGACTTGCTAAACCTTTCAGAGAAGGAGTGGGTCCCAAAGCGTTCAGAAGCAAAGCTATACTGACATGTCAAACTCACAACTGCCTTGTGTGCTCCCCTGAAATCAAGAGGTCACAAACAGAATGCATTCAGCTTGAACAGAGAAACAATTTGGGGATGAAGAGGAAATGGCCAAAAATGGCAGTTTCTACATTCAGTAAACTACACAGGAGAAGTCTTCAAAAAGTTTACAGAAAATGTGTATTATGAAAAGTGGATTTCAAACTTGTCACAGAAATGAACTTTGCTACAAACTCTTTTTCCACGGACTATTTGAAGTACTCTCATGCTTAAGTCATATGACACATTTAATTACTATAAAAATGCTGCCTTCATAAATTCATATTTCATGAATGTTTCATTTAAATCCCTTGAACACGCACATGCGTGTTAGGCAACTGGTCTTAGGCATCTCTACAGTTACATTCTGAGATGCCACACAATTCTATGGAGGCATCGCTTCATTCTTTTCTCCTCCATGGAAGCTGAAACATGTTTTTCAGTTGTGGATGTAGCTACTTCTGGAACAAATTCTCAAGTTACAGGAGCATAAGTGTGCAAGTGACACATGCATAATTAGTCCTACGGATCCAATTCATATAATTAAACTTCAGACTTTCTTGTCCTTTAAAACTGGTTTTTAAAACCTTTTACAATAACATCTAACACTCCCCTTTGTTAAGGTCAAACCTGAAGACATGACTGCCCAGCTAGCATTGAATATCTTTGCTTTAGAACAAATCAAATTTAGCTTGCTGAGCTTCATCAGGATGGCAGATGGGGTTGGCAGGAATGGTTTCAGGATCTGATGTCCTGTGTAAAGGAATTGCAAAGACACCCCACAATAAAACAACCTGGGAAGGACTTTAAAATGAGGACTGCGAGAGAGTTTAGGGAAATCTTCCTCATAGGTTGGGGTGTACAAACTGTTTCATATTCAGATGGGGGTACAAACTGAGAAAAACTTGTAGGCTCTGTTCCTGAGGCATGAGGATAAAACACAGTCCACAACACAACATATATACACACAAGAGCCTATAATGCCAGTGAATAAGTGTAAAGGAAGGGCAAGCTCACATTGGACTGGGCCTGGCAAATGAATGCTGGCTAAGAAAACAAGAGCCATCCCACGCTGTGAGGGCAGAAATCAGACTACAGAGCAAGGTCCTAACACAGGGCTAGCATTTCTGGCAAACTAATCTGAATGAATGGCAGAGCTAAACCAGATAAGAGAGGCAAGGAAGATTAATGGGGGAGACCAACTGAGTTGTGCCTTCCTCAGCAGCCACTGCGTGCTAAAATTACTCTGTGGCAGGCACAGTGCTAAGCAATCACACACATGATGACTAAATGCGGACCACACAAAGTTGCTCTTGCCTTCAATTCCAGTGCTGTGGAGGTACCTGTCTGGTCCCTGTTCCACACAAGGGCAGGACTAGAACCTAGGTCTGAGGGCAAAGTCTGGGGGCTGGGGGTTGGGGCATTAAGTGCTGCAGTGCAGATCTGCAGTGATT